GGACAAAAATGGCCTTAGGCAAATTCACGTACGTGGAGACCTGCACGTACAGCTCGTCTGGCAAAAAAAATTTGTGCTGCCTGAGTACTAGGCATAGGTGTCTTAAACTCTTGATCAGTTGATTCACTGCAGTTTGCGCATTTGTTCATCATCTTCATGCCTGTGTGAGAGTGCACATGAACAAAAGGGCAGTTCTGTGTGGCAAGCTACGCTACAGTACTGTTAGACGTGCTACTGAGAACACTAGTACTATGATGAACGGGGTTACAGGGAGACGCCAAAATTAGGAAAGAAATAGGGGATGAGCACAATAATAGGAGTGAACTATGAAGCTGAAGTGTGAATCTGGCAATCTGCATTCATTCATCCAATGATGAGCCCAAAAATTCAACAATTTATTTATACTAGGTAGCGTGCCCGTACGTTACTACGGGACAACTAAACTTTTGTACTAAAAACACATGGATCGCACAATTAGATAATAATACTGTGAAATTAAATACCGACGTCCATATGTAACACCAATCGTCACTATTATATTATTTTTTATAAAGCACGAATAACTATAATATAATTTTAGTCTTAACAAGAAATCAAAACAATTGTTCAACTATATTCCTTACGACTATCTGGTCCATACACTTAAGGCAGTGTTTTAATCCTGTAGATTGAAATTATCCTAAAATTTCCGTCATAAGCCAATAGCTAGATAACCAAATCATTTTGCATTCTTTGGCCATCTCATGCAAAGTCAGATATAATTTAAGGCCAAAAATTAGACAAAGACATAGCTACATAGGTTTGCTTCAACCCATCGCTCAGTCTTATCTGCAAATTTCATTGAAAACATTATTCAAAAGGAAACCTAATGATTATTCAAGACGATTTATAGTAATGCACTTGAAACAAATAATTGCACTAAGCAGTTCCCCAACTGCAGTAACAAGCAAATTTCAGAACATGAACAAATGATTAATCCATAAAAACATCTGAAAACAAATAAAGAGGCAAAAGCATTTACAGTCTACAAATTTCAAGCTTCTATTTGATAGTAAGACAGATGTTTCGGTCATAATGACCTTCTACAATAAGCATTGGTGAAGCTCAAAATATTTATGTTCACTAAATTAGCCATGTTGAATGAGTTTCATACCTAGTGCAACATTAAAAAGTGTCAAACTACATTTTATTTTAATGGGGCTGCACAGGTATGGGTCCACCAGCAGTATGTAGTTTTCAGGAGTTGTTGAGCACTGAGTGTCATCGTCAACAGCCCCTCACCCTTGTCACTGTCGTTGCATTTGCCACTCGTGGCATGGAGGTCTCGAGCCCCAACGTAGCAATGAGCTTGGCAGCCGAGGGGCAGCCCAATTGTTGATAGCGTGTTCATGGAGCCACTAATTTCCTTTATTTGCAATTATACATTCTCCCAGGAACAAAGTTCTCAGAGACCTGTTCAAACAATTTACAATGACATGTTACTGTTGTGATATGATGCAGTAGCAGCTAGATTTATAAATACACTATGCATCCGTAAATAATGTGCTGAAAAGGACATGCTAAAGAAATCTAGAAAAAATTCCTAAGGAAAAAAAAAAGACTTGCAACAGAGCATCCACAAGGTTTCTTGGCTCTAGTACAAAAAGAAAAGTAGCTTCAGCACATAAAAATAATAGTAAATATTTGAAATTGGAGTATATCAAACACAAAACTTCTATGCACATCAATTATTAAACTTCCTTAGTCAACTGATTCAACAACTTAGTTACTGAATTCAACCTAAGAAATAAAAAATTAAACCATCTGAAAGATTTATAGGAAAAAATTCACTAAGATTGAATCCAATACATATGACCAGTCAAAAATTAAATACAATATCAGAGAGGACAGAGACAAGCTATGGTGAACATTGTTGGTGAATGGGCAAGTGGCTACCTTCTGTCCTACAGTGTCACCGGCAGTCCTTTCTATCCTAGCCAAACACTTCCTCTATTGTGAGTTCTATCGAAGCATGTTAGTGCTCAAACATCTGAAATAATTATCATAGGAAAAATAAATTGGCTCCACGCCTCTACCATCCTCGAAGGATTGCTGCTCTCTCATGAAAAAACTGATAATGTGAACAGGGAATTTTACTTTTCAAAGCAACGTGACCCGGTGGTATGTAATTTCTAAGCATGTAGGTAAAGTAGACATTAATCTATGTCAACCTATCTAGTATACACTGTCCACCCAACCTGGGCAACATCTGAAAAAAGTTCCCCACATGGGAAGGGATTGCAATATCTGCCATCACTGTAGTTTGTAGCTAAGCTACCATCATAGAAGCAATACAACACAATATCTCCACACATCTTCACATGTCACTATGTCAGTGGCAAGCCCGTACGAAAAATGGAAGATACAAAATGTGGCTCTGTGTGAGAAAAATTGTAAGTTGATTTGGAATCAGGAATCAAGTCCTCACAAGAAATGCAGTACCATTTGGAGGGTCATGATTGAAACCACCTGACTCCATAGCTAGCAAAAACCTTATGTTTAATGTTATTTTTCCTGTATATCAGCAAGCCCTAATCATAGAAAGTCCATGTTTCAAAATTAATCATAAACTTCAATAAACTCAGCATATACAGTGCTCTAGCATAGTGTTCATTTGCATAACTAGAGTGCTTTTATCTATTGTAATTTTTGCCTTAAGTGGGTGCATAACTTGATACAATGAGAGCGGAAGAGTTTTAATTTCACGATTGCGGACAGACCGACCCCAGAAGACAAATCGGATCAAATGATTCAGAGAAGGGGGAGGAGGATTACACGAGGCGGAGCATGAGCGGGGCACAGTCCTTTTGGTTTAATGAATAATACCTAATCCATAACTCCACGCCTAATAATGCAATTGCAAGTTTTGATTGAGCCTGAGCACTTGTTGGCGCAGACGCTCTTGGGCTTGTGCCTGAACAACACAAATTCCTCCTCGTAGTTCACATCAGCCAGCAGCATCAGGTCCCATGTCAGGCTTGCAGCAGCCTACAACGAAATGGCTGTGTCAACAATCCAATTGGAACATGAATGCCTTCAACACAGTCAATAAAATCAGAATTGGAGGATAAAGTTTATTCCCTGAACAGCACTATTTTCATACTTGTAAGTGGCAAATTACGGAAGCAGTGCTAGAATCCCAATTTTAACCCAAGGAAACACCATAAAGAAAAAAAATGTACTAACTGATTTTTTTTCTTATCCTGAACAAGATTACATATAACCTTATCATGTGCCACACAATCTCATTGATAATAACAATATATGAACCGACGACATGGAATGAACTAATATTTGCCCAGAGAGTTGTTCCAGTAATACATCTGCCGATATCCATAGAGACTCTTCACTACAATCAAAGAAATAAATTAAAAAAATATGCATCAGTGACCATGGTAGTACAATACCTGATCTGCCAGTGATATTGCAATATCGATTGCTAGCTTATTACTCCTCGCATATATGAAAATTCTTGTCCTCATTCTCTCCTAAAGAGCAATAGCAATAACAAAAGAAAAAGGAACACCCCATGAAAATGTTACAAATCTAGCTGCATTCATGAGTTTGGCCTAGTTAATTTACAACACCCGATTGGTGTACAGATCATGCATATTACATAGTTTGACCAGTATGGAAATTTACACAAGGACTCCTTATATGCCACGAGGTCATATGACATGCATACACAAATGTTGATCTCTCTGTTTTAATGTGTTTGAACCAGATTGACATTAGCAAAGGATACCGACATGATTGAGATTGGTTCTGAAACTTGAACCTACTAAACTCGAATTTTCAACACCAATTTATGACATGAACAAACAATGAATGACCAGCCTATTGACTGAACCAAGCATCCGAGAGATTTCCACTCAGCAGCAGGGAATTTCATCAAACACCTTACATGCATATCTCAACTGACCAAGAGTGCACAATCGCAGACAGAGAGGAGGCAGGGTACTGACGCACCTATTCCTTGTGCGCGACCAGCACATCCTCATGTGTGGTGGCCCTCGTAGTTGATTGCCTCCATGCACTTCGCTAGCGCCCTCCTCGACTTAAACTGCTGCCACCACCGCGTCTCCGCCCTGCACTCCAGCCTGCGAGGAAGAGTGAGAGAGGAGGAAGAGGGAGGCCGGAGGCATGACAGGAAGAGGGTGGACAGAGGGCTCATCACCTCGATGGTGGTATGGCCGGCCGGCCGCCATCCATGCCGCAGTGAGCCCCGCCCCCGACCAGGTCCTTGCCTACCAGTTTCGGCGCCACGACACCTTCCTACTGCCAGATCGAGCTCCCCATCATGAAAGACACCTTGGCGGGTAGGGGGGCAGGGAAGCCGGATCCAGGGCCGGTGCTCGGCCCCCTCCATGGCGCTCCAGCCCCCTCCATGATGGCCTCCGTCCGGCGTTGCGACGTGCAGCCGCGACTCCTCCATGGTGGCGCGGCGGCGCGAGGGCAGGGAGGGAGAGGAGGCGTCGGCTTTCACGACTTCCACGACTTTCCTTCTGACTTGATCGCGGGGAGGCGATCGCACCGCGAGGCAGAGCGACGTAGGAGATTAGGACGCACGGTATAGCAAGGGGAGGGGCGGACCGACGGAGCAACGATTGTCACACGAAATGGTGGTCTTACTTTCTTTCTTTTTAGTTGTAGGAGCCATGTACAGGAAATAACTTTCAGAATTTATGGAACGTTGCTTGCTCTGACGATCTGTAAATTAAGAAAGAAAAAGTGTGGATTGGACACTTTAAATTAACACACATGACTACATGAAGGTTGACTGTGTGAAATGGCTTACACAGTCTACTGGGAAAGTTAGTGGTCTGTGAAGCACAGAAATACATAATAAACTTTATTTCTCTCGTCGAAGCATGCTATTAATTTACAGGTACGCAGAAGGATTGAAGCTTACATGTCAGAATGAATGCAGAAGGCTGTATATTTATATGGCCAACTGTATTTTACATGTTCCATGCCTCTTCCAAGAACGCAAGCAGCAATGCAGCAACAGCGATGGAACCTGCAAAAACAATAGGCAAATGGAAATGCAATCAAAGTCAGAACACAAATCCAACCAGGAGTTAAATAAACTCACATAGAAGAAAACGCATTAGAGCTGACAAATCCAAGTATCGGAGGTAATTAATCCACAGCGCTGATTGTGTTTTTTCAGCTAGAGATTTCTGAACGTTTCAGGTTGTCGTCATCAGCACAAGATCTGTGGGACTTACAGATTCATGAGGAATCCCCTGTTATTGGTACAATTAATCTGTTGTCTGCTGAAATGCAAGTGCACGACCAATTTTATAAGTGAACAAAACTATACAAAGGCATTTGAGGTCCAAATCTGAAGGAGACATATATGTTATTTTTCAAATAATTATGAAGGGAACATGAAAGTATAGTTCAGTATGTATATATTTTATAACCATGTACGAAACTGAACCAGAGGAAGTCATGTAAGAAACAATCTGCCAAAATTTAGAGGTAGCTAAATGCGGCAGCCAATCGTGAATCAACCGCCGCCACTGAACGCAAAAATGAAAAGCTACAGGAGGTGGAAGAACTGGGTGAACTGGTCCCTATAGACGAGAATCGTTCTTGTCCCAACCTATGAACTAACCAAGCGCTAATCCAGCAAGCGTAAAAAAAAAAATACAGGCATTCACATGAGCAAGAGGGTTATGAACAGGCGGCTCACCATGGAGGCGATGTTCTACTCGAACGATTCCCGGCACCTGTGGTACAGCTGCTGCGAGTAGTCGTGCGGCGGCCTCTGCGTGCACATGCTGTATATCTTCCTGCGACAAGATGTTGAGAACTGTAGATCAGAGCCGGATCGATGCGGGAAACCCTAGCGCCGCCGCGAAGAAGACGGCGGAGGCGGCGGCGAGGACGCCGGCACCGTGCGCGTCGAGCACCGCGAGGAGTGAGATCCGGGAGAGAGAGGGCGCCGAGGGGGAGATGCGGCGGTGGGGCGACGTGCCGCCGCCGTCGGCGCGGAGCACTGTGAGGATCACCGCCGCCGCCACAGGTCCGGCCGCTGCACGCGCCGAGGGCGCTACCGCAGCCACAAGCCCCGCCGGCTGACGCACCGAGGACGCCGCTGGCCACGCACCGAGGACGCCGCTGGCGTGTGCGTCGACCACCATGAGGGCCGCGAGCCTCCGCAAGGAGAGAGATCCGGGATGGAGAGGGCACGGAGGAGACGATGTAGTGGTGGAGCGCGCGGAGGAGACGTCGAGGGAGTGGGGGAGTCGCGCGGGGTGGGAGGCGGCGTCGGGGGCGAGGGGGAGGCAGAGCTACGACGCGAAATTTTGTCGCAAGGGGCAGGGGCGGACCGACGATGGTCGCACGAAACGGGCGTCTTCCTATCATTCTTTTTAGTTGTACGAGACTATGTGTGTACATGTCGTCCTTCAGAGCGAGCACATTCGCAAAACGAATGGCGCAAGGCTACAGAGCCAGCTTTTATATACATCAGAATACATGTTCAAAGCTCAGAGGAAATATTTAGAGCATGACAAAAGGCAAAAACAGACACGAATTCCCCAACATGAGGCTCGGGTGGTTAAGAGGCATGGGTTCACCATTTTGCACAGACGTCTGCACGAGTCATTGCCTCCTTCAGCAATCGGCAGCATGGTCCATCCCCTCCGGTCTGGCCACCAGGCCCTCCAGCTTTGGCTATGAACCCAGCAGATCCTGGAACTTGTCTGGTGAGTGCCGGACCAGGCATGGTGTAACGTGTAACAAGCTCTAGTTTTTTAACATGGCGATCATGGGACGCCTCAGCTGCTGCGTGACTACTAAACATAGATCTGGGTTGGCCAAAGTAATAAGGTAGGAAAAACGAATTAAACACATCCTAGTCCTAGCTAATTGATGGTCATCACAAGCAAGTCACCTGCGCCGCTGCGCGTTTCATTGCGGTGTGGTCGTCAATTGGTCATCCGATGTGTCATAGTCGTATAGCCCTCGCTACGTTCTCTTTTGACCACGAGGGTGGGACGGTTGGGATGGGTTCCTGCAGTACCCCTGATGTCATCCTCCAAGCCCTCCACCTTGTCTGAGGTAGCCCTCCAGCAGCTGATACTAGCACTGATATATCTGGGACTTTGCAAGATTGTGAAGCCCAACATGCAGGCCACCTTGGCCGTACTTGAACTGGCACCGTGCCTGCAGTTCTAGCTTCAGCCTTTGGACCTTTGGCATGGCTCCTGCCTCAAACTCCAGCGCAGCCTCATGATCACCGCCGAAGCTGAACTTGAGCAAGCTCCTGAATCCTTCACTTGCGATCGATGGCATGCCTCAGATTGATGCCACTGTTGGGATTGTCCTTTAAGCGCACGGTGAGAGAGACCAACATGGGTAAGCTTGCAAGGATCTCTAAACCTTCCTGGCTTACTTCACCAAAAACCGAAATGCGGAGGCGGACCAGGTTGGCTAGTGACCGCATTTGGCTTGGTATGCTTCTCAAAGGATCGGGAAGGTAAAGTCTCTGTAGTGGCGGAGTAGAGCCGCCACAGTTAGCCGTTGTCATCAGTGCAGCTACTACATCAGAATCATGCACAAGATACAGTGTTCGAGGGCGCATGAACAGTTTGGAGATGGACGAGATGGATGCTTCCTTGTGGCCTTCTGAACCACGCCCTTCATGAGAAGAAAAGGCTATGAGGAAACCTCAGTCCACTCAGATCGCCGAGCCCTTGGATAGCCTCTGCAGATGATGTATCCAGCTCGATCATCGACAGCTCCTCCAAAGCCTGCAGATTTCCAATCCTATCCGGCAGCTGCACACCCCTTGGGAAGGAGAGACGCACTAGTTTCTTCAGGTGAACAATGCTTGCGGGTAGTTTATTGATGCCACTCCGTCTCACATCTAACGTCTCCAGATGCTGCAGTTTGCCTATTTGTTCTGGAAGCTCCCAATTCTGACCGGTGATTACCAAGTACTTCAACTGCGTGAAACTTTGAACATGAACATTATTGCGGCCTCCATAATGCAGTCGTCCTTGGATATTCAGCACACGCAGGACGTGGCTGTTAAAAAACCCAGGGATGTGATCACCCAGCTGGTTACAATCATTGAAGATATGAACTGATCGAAGATGAGCTACATTCTGGTTCAGCGCACAAATCTCTTCAGCTCCGGAGAAGTCTGTTTGGATGGATAACCGGCGCATCTTGTTTGAAGAATTCCCAGAAAAACCTTCACAGTTCTTTACAACAACAAAGTTGTCTTCCACAGCCTGTGATACGATGAAGTCGAGCATGACATCATGGACTCTGCAAAATTTCACTGCTCCATCTGCCCTGATCTTTGTTGGCTGAATCATGCTTCTGTTGATGAGCTCATTCAAGCAGCTTACTGCTAGCAGCTCCATACTCTCTCTGCTGTGTCGAGGAATTAGTCCTTCAGCTACCCATGCCCGGGTTAATTGTCGGCAATCAATGGAATAATCCTCTGGAAAAACACTCAGATACAACAAACAACTCTTCAGATAGCAAGGGAGGTCAAAGTAACTAAGCAACAGTATTCCTTCCATTTCCTGAATCTGAGAAGAAGCTGTCCCCACTGCAGAAGAAACAAATTTCAATATTCCTTCCCATTCTTCCACCCTATGACTTCTCTTTGCTAACATGCCAGCAATACTTATTATGGCTAATGGCAAGCCACCACACTTCCTCAAAATTTCACTGGCTAGTACCTCAAAACTTGGGGACGATCTTCGTTGGAGTGAAATACTCTTCTAAAGAAGAATATACGATAATCATCTTCGCTAAGTGGCTTTGCTTCGTAGATATGGCCATCAATGCTGGTACAATATGATTCAGCTACTTCTTTCTTGCGTGTTGTAGTAATAATAATTCTACTTCTACGATTGTTGACAGGCAAGGCACATTGCACTTGCCTCCATGCTTCTATGCTCCAATTTTTTTTCTTGATCGGACCTAGAGGCCCGTTTTTCATTAAGAGGAAGAGGAATTTTCCAACGTTTACATGGCCAGACAGTATCGGTGGCGAGGAGCCATCACTAGCTGCTAACCAGAACTCCTAGCTACTGGATATTACATTTGAGAAAGATTTTGCGACCAAAAGGGACACAACACGTAGCGAATTAGACAGATAGCTTAGGCGGCGCGAACGGTTCTGAGAGACCCGCTGCTTCCTGCCTGGAAAAAGAACTTGCATTGCCTCCCGCGTTGAAGGCGAAAGGGGCAACTTGAAGGCTGTGTGGAACTCCTCGAAGGATGCTTCATCAGGAAGTTCTGTGTCGACCTCCATACCAAGGCGTTTCATCGTGACTTTCCTTGCTTGCGCTTCAGGCCGTGCAGCTTTGTATTTGCTCTTGGCCGCTAAGCGCGCACTCCGCTTAGGGACCAGCTCCTCATCCTCCAGTAGCCTTGCCCTCTCTGCCCTAGTCACCCTTGGCCTTGGCGTCGACAGTAGCATCAGCTGTGAGAGAGGCAACCTGAAAGAGGAGATGAACTCCTCGACAGGCAATTTCACGGCCTGCACCACCGCCTCATCCGTCGCGACGTCGCCGTCGACCGGGCGTGGAGAAGAGTCCGCATACACCACCGGCACAGCACTAGCACGGGCACGGCCAGTCACGGCACTACGCGGCACGGTAGACTAGCCGTGCCGTGCCTGTTAGTGCCGCCATGCCGAGGTGTCGGCCCAGGCACGGCACTATCAGGTCTTAGTCGTGCCGTGCCGTGTCACTGGGCACGGCGGCCCAGCAGTGCCCGTGCTGGCACTGACACTATAAGTTAAAAACACCTTAAATTGATCAGAATATCAGGGACAAGTTCATCATCTCAAACACCTCAAACTGATCAGAATATCAAACACCTCAAACACTTCATCATCTTAATCTTAAGTTACAAGTTCAGAGAACTTATCAAAGACTCAAAGTCACATAATCACACAAACACAGGCAGAGAACAAAATAACATTTTATTGGACGCTTTAGTGCAATGGCTACCTTATTAAAAACATGTCTAGGCAAAACTTACCCTTATGAGAAACACTAGACAGAAAAAAAAGAGTACAGCCCAGCTTCATTTATAAAGTTCATCAAAGTCCAGCCCATAGTCTATAATATTACAGTCCCATTACATAAATGATAACTAATCAAGATAAAGTTCTCCAAATACTTCTTCAAGCTTCTTGTCCTCCACCATGTATTGCAGCCGAGCTTCAGTAGCCTCCTAATCTTTGATGCAGGTCAGCATATCCACCATTTCTGGTTTTAGCTTCCTCCGCCGCTCCTCGATGATCCTGTCAGTCATACTAAAAGTGGATTTTAAAGATATGGTTGAAACAGGAACAGTTAAAATATCTTTAGCCATGATTGACAGCACTGGATATATGAGTTTGTGTTGATGCCACCAGTTTAAGATGTTAAAATCATCATCTAAATGGTTCACAGTATCACAGTCCAAGTAAGAAACAAGTTCAGAAACATTAGAACCTGAAGAACTTGCAGCCTGCAGCAAGGCAGTTGCAGATATATCTCTAGCTATGATTAGAGTAGCAGCTGCAGTATACATACCACCACCACCACCAACATCACTATCATCATCATAAATTTCATCCCAAGCAGACTTTTTTTATCAGATAGGTTAGGAGGAGCAGTATTCCTTAACCTAACACCTCCATATTTCTTCTCATACTTATTGTAGACATCAGTAAGTCGAGCTCTAGTGCCAACCTGGTAAGCACTATAATCTGTACTAGTAAGGGTGCCCAACCTCCTAAGCACTCTAATGAAACCTTTCATTTTAGCTCTGGGGTCCAGGATGAATGTAAAAAGAATAAAGCAAAGGTATGTCCCTCCAGTATTTATTATATTTGTCTATCATAGGTTGAACCACAGGTTTGATGTGATTATCATTAGCATAATTCTTTAGGTGCATAGCAATCTTAACAAGATAATAAATCATGAGTGGAGATGTAGGATAGTACACACCAGACAATGCAACTGTAGCATCATAAAACAGTTCAAGAAATTTAAGTACTTTTCTGCCATAGCCCAATGGTCATCAGTTAAAAGCAACTGACCACCTTCAGCCCTAGGATATTGAGCATGGATGAAAGTAGTGAATGAGATCTTATGTGGAAACAAATGCTTAAGCATTAGGT